CTGGATTGTGACTGTCGCTAGTCGAACGTCGTGCTGTTCGCACAGGCAGTCCGCTCGAGAAGAACCTGGCTATTACACGCGATCATAAAACTGACGTAACTACGCGGTAAGTCACAAACACCAACAAACAAAATGGAAGTTTTGGTTAGAAATAAATACTTTTTCTTGCCGTACATCTAATAATAGACAGATGTCGTCGTCTCTCCAGATGTCTTTTTTATTTCTCTGTCGATAACCCGACACGTGTTCCGCAGCCATCTTGTATTTGCTCGCGCGCGTGGGATTGTGGGATCTCTCTTATGACTGGATGTAGTTTCGAGAATTCTCTCCAGTCGATCGCGATTGAACCTCGTTTCAGTCGAGATTGAAACGGTCGAAAGCGTTCGCACCACGGAACGCTCTCCGACCTTAGTCACAATCTAGATCGAAATGCTCGGTGCGAACGAGGTATTAGGGTACGTCATGAAAACGCGCACTAAGAAGGGATTTTTGGAAATCCCTTCTTAATGCTTAATGCTCTTCCTCTCCCCCCCCCGCGGGGAAGAGGGAGAGCATTAAGGCTTGGCCTGAAGAACGGTTTCTACTATAGTATTTTAGATGCGATTTTTTGTTTTCAACAACGTTTAATCTTCATTGAGTACTTAGGTGTATTAAATTGATAACATTTCAGAGATTGTTATAAATATTTTTGTATATTTCGACGAACGCGACGAAAAAGTTTTAGTCGTCATAAAACGATAAATAGTTTGTCAAATTTTTATTCATAAAAATGCAGTTTAAACTGCTTTTTATTTTATAAAATCCGTCTTCTTGCGCCANCTGGACCAATAGTGGACGAGCAGCTGAACTACTTACACGCTACAGAGAGTTAGCAGGGTAAGTTTAGTTTACTATCGTCTGTACAGTATACAAATGAAGTAATGTAAGTCTAATACAGTACGGTAATTTTATACATTTCTTCTGAAAGAAACATTTCTTATTCAACGGCCATAAAAATTATTCCTATTAATGATGTCTCCAAAGTTCAGCGAATTTTTCGCAGAAAAATAACTTATTAGAAAACGCGCCCGCCGTTTGGTGCGCTGCTCCGAGACAAAAACAAGCTTAAGCAATGGCGTGGTCAAACGGTGCACACTCGGTAAGTAATCCTACAATTTTTTGTTTATAGCATAGTTTATACGAATTATTTCCAAAAAATTATACATATTTTGGAAATGTTGAGTCGAATTAGTCTAGAATCGATTAATTTTATGGAAGAAAACCTTTCAAACAGCCGTAGTCCGTAAACTGCACACGTGTCGGGCTGTGATTGGCTGTGATTCCTACAAAATGAATTCATAAAGAACGGAACGTATCTACCGTGTTATAGGGGGCGTCGACTGTATTTGACTAAGTGCATTGTTTTAAGATTTAAAAAGTAAAGAATATTTTATATTTTTATGTACGTTTCTTTACAAAGCTATATTTAATTATAATTTTCTTTAAAAATATAGTCATACAATTGAAGAATATTTTGTACCAGGTATGTACCGGTACATTCACCACACATTTTATTTCACCAAGTAAGATTTTATTATTTTATTTTTAATTGTAGCCCTTATATCGTGGTTAGCGATTCGGAATGTAATTGTGATATTAAAAATGCATTTAGAGAAGTCCGTAGAGTTTTTACTGGCTTATTGAATAAACGATACGAGTTGACCCTAGACTATCACTGAGACGCAACTGACTGAGTGCCCCTGTGTGAGGTCCCGGAAATAAGCTCCCCCAAAAAAAGACATAAAAAATTTGTTAAGTTAAACCGACAAGAAAACAAATTATATAAGTGTCGAATCGGCGACACCGGACTTTGACGTCGACGATCATAAAGAGTAGAAGGAAAAACAAAATTTTAGATATAGAAAAAGAAAATTGTAAATTTTAAATTAAGACGCAGTTCAGAAAGCAAAACGAAACTAGAAAAAATATCAAAATAAGTGTAGGTGTCATAGTCAACAATTAAAGGCGATCAGAGTCGAAAAGATGGTGTCGGATAAATCATCTCCATCCGACCTTTCTCGCGAATTTTACGAAGCTCCATTTACACCTGGAGACAGGTGGAAGATCAATTAGAAAACGGTGATATAAGCAAAAAGCGGATCTCGAAAAACCTATAAAAGCACCAATTCCAAGGACAACGGGACTTCCACTAAGACTTCCACTAGACTTCTGTTGTGTTTGTGTATCTCCGTTTTTTTCGTTCATCCTTTCATCTTTTGTGCATCGACTTTCGAGACTTCGAACTTTTCGTTCAACGCTGTCCAGGGGCCCCTACGACGCTGGACCAGATCGCCGCCGAAACCCCTACGACGCAAGACCAGAATCAACGTCGAAATTTCCTACAACACAGGACCTTTCCAACGAGAGAATTTATGTAAGCATTATCGTCCGGAATAAACAGTTTGTCTCTGTAAAACACTTGTCTTTGCTGCCTTTAATTTATTAAAGACCGCCACCCACATACGAGTAGACCTTAGACCATACCGACGGTAGGGAATAAAAATCTCCCCCCAATCGGCGTTCTTACACCTGGATGTCGGCTTCTTACAAAAACACAGCTTCCCTATCATCAAATGTTACGGCACGCCACTGAGTCCGAGTCAACAGAGAAACTCACACAGAGGATGAAGAGATTGAGTCAGAGAGAAGTCACCATTCTTTCTCCTTGAATTTCTGGCTTTTTAAAGGATCTCTCCCCTATATTCTTAATTTGATTGGTTAATCAATTTGACACTTCCGTTCGACTTCGTCCGCAAGTGTTGATCCAACTTTGAAACTTCGCCCCCTATCTCGCGCGATTTTATTTTCTCTTTACGTCTAAGAAGTTTTCTTTATGTCTTCATTATTTACAACGTGATAATTTTGCTTTCAAAGGAATGCTACATTTATTTTCAAATTTTGTCGTATCTATGAGAGTCAGCGTCAAAGTTGATAATAAGAAGTTAATAATTGTGGGAAATGGAAGAAGCGTTGCATTTACCCATCAAAAATAGACAAAGAAAACATGCCAGTAATTGAAAGAGACTGATATGTAGAAATTGCACTATTAGGATGTGTACAAATTGTGCACTATATTCATCATTCTGGATAACAAAAGTGTATTAAGACGAACTAACGTTTTATTCGTTATGTTGTAGACATCAACTTCGGACACTTAAGCCGTGAGCCCGAATAGGAATTAGAAAATAACCAATTCGAAATGCATTGTTAAATAGACAAAATAAAATGAACTGTTTTAATCTTGATCTCTGTTAATTGTGCATAATTAACCACTTGGCCATCCGCCCATCTTTTTTGGACGATTTCCCATTTCCCATTTCCATTTCCAGATAGAGGAGTGTTATTGCTATTCGCATTTCACTCCAGAAGAAACAGTGAGGAAGAGTCGGTCTTATAGAAGACGACCATTCCGAGGAAGACAGGAGAGAGGTCACTAAGCAACCAAAGCTGGTCTTATAAGAGACGACCCCCGCGAGAAAGGGAGACAGAATGCCTTCCGGGAGGACTTGGAGGAAAAGCTGGCCCCTATTCAGGCGTCATTGGCAAGGAGGAAAACCCGGAAAAACTCCCGCTTCCAGTTCGTGCGAGTTAGGCGCGAACCCCCGATCGAACTCCGGTGTTTAGGGTCTGGTCACCACTATTTTTGGACGATAGTGACGATTTAAGGATTTATTTCATTAAACAGTTACGTCAACGGTGAAGCGCAAAACTCGCCCGAAGACATAAACGATACAGAGAAAAAGTTTCGTAATTAATATACATATAGATTATTTTAATTTCACCTAGGCGAAAGTCAAAACTATTATTTTTAAATAATTAATTATCTATAGATTAATATGTGTTTAAAAACCGAATAAATAAAATTAAAATTTCACAAACCAATACTCCATAATCTCTAACGTGACAGAACAAGTCAAGACAAGTTTAAATAGCGCCATCTATTATGGGAAATATTACATTAGTCAGAAATGGATACAGTTCTACGTCAGTGAGGCTATGCTACGCGTCGTCCTCTAAAACTTTTAATAAACGCATCGTAATCAGTTTTTAAACTCATATTTCTAAGTAAAATCATACTTTTGCACTTAAATATCGTGCTTATTTCTATTATACATTATTTGAAATTTTAACTACGTCTTTTGAAATTCTGGTCAAAAGAGGGCATTCCAATCGTCATGGCGGCAAATAAGGTTTGTCTCGTACGAAAACATAAGATTATTTATAATAATATAATGGAAACGAGTTTCATTAGTGTGTAAGAATGTTATGTGAGAAATAATTGGCAGATGCCGGGATGTGTATACCGTATTTATTCGCGTATAAGATGACTCGCATTTAGGACGAGGTGTGACTTTAAGATCAAAAAAGAAAATTAACTTTATTAATACAATTCTAATTTTATTTCGTTTAATCACAAATAAAATTTCAAATGAACGTAAATGCACGCATTGTTCCGCAAAAATTACTGGCGCAAAAATTTAAGGACATCTTGTAAAATTGACAACATAATTTGTTCATGTAAAGCTGGACAATCGGGAACCTTTTTGCTAATTCTTAACAGTCGAATCCATTCTCCGTCGATTACACTTGAGTCTCTCCGAATTTTGATTTCTGAATAATCACCTATTTTCATGTGGGAATGGATTAAAACTTATATCGGGCTCGTGTGATTTTGGAATTTTAATCTGGAATTCGATTCAAAAGCTTTACTTTTCCAATATTGCTATTCATCTTTACTCCTGACAATATACAAGAACGATTCAAACGACCCAGATAAAATACAGTGGGTGATCGGTTAACAAACATAATCCGTTCCAAGACTTTGTTTGTTATCCGAATTGCTCGTTAACCGATTATCGATTTACCATAGGTTTTTATGGGAATTTGATTAATTCGTTCCGGAGACTGCAAAAAAAATATATGCTCTTTTTACTACGTTTATTTATATGTAATAGTAAGTATATATATGCAGTTTTGCATTTTTATTAGTCATGTTTTTTCCATTTGTGGGTGTTAAAGAATCTGTCCAATGTCGATTGCTTTTCTCTTTTCTTCAGGATTTTTTGGAATAATTAATAGTATTGTAATTGTAGAGATCACCAACCCCATTAGCCTTATTCTGGTTCGAATGCCACTTGGACGATCGTTGTTCTGACATCCCTGGACTTCTTATGTCGTTAGATCAGTTTCAGGTTACATTATGAGATTGAAAATGCTCTTTATTTCTCAGATGTGATTTTCATTACTCCATTAACAGCTTGAGACTTCTTGATATATCTTTCATAGCTAAGATTGTGCCTACTGTAGACCTGTTCGAGCCATACTGTCTAGCAACATCAGACATCTTGTGCCCACTTTCTACCTTGGCTATTATCTCTTACTCAGTTTCTACGGTGAGCACAGTTCTTGACATTCCTCTTTTAGGCATCAAAATATCATCAGTTTCTTTTTTAAATAAAAGTTCAGAAAAGCACTTACAAAATTTCAGAGAACAGAAATCAACTAGTCCACAAAAAATTATTTAAATGCAAGGCCCGGATGAAATTCGAAATTTGGTATTAAAACGTTAACAAATATCTGATGGGACAGTTAAACTTTCACCTTTTGCAAATAAACCCTGACGCAAAACTTAACAAGTGCCTGTCTGACAGTCTCGTGAATACTATAAAAATTATTTGTCAGAAACATAAACAAAAAGCTGGAATTACAAGAGAGAGTTTCAAAATTCGGAGGGATACTATCGATCGATATCAGGTTGAGCGTCGATGTTGACGTCTCCCGTGCTCTGAAAGGTTTCGAATTGTTACCTGCAGATAAGGGAAAATTAATAGGTATTCGTTATTTTCCGTCGCTTTTTTTTATGTTTGTTCAGTAAAGTGTTCGTTATCTGAACATGTGTTCGTTGTCCGATCATAAAAATCTTTCGCGAAAGTGTTTGTTATCCGATTTGTTCGCTACCCGAACTGTTCGTTAACCGATCACTCACTGTACTTATGTTTCTAAATACAAGAGGGTAAAAAATGGGTAAAAATCTGGTAAAAAATGCAAATACATTGTTCACAAAAATTATTTGCAAAAATGCAAAGAATCTTTCATCTTTCTGTATAGGATGACTTAGGAATTTGAAGCTGTAATGAATAAAAACCTCGTCTTATATGCGAGTAAATAAGGTATATTGTTTCTTTAAAGCATGATTGTTGTTGACTTCTGACTTGCTTGCAGATGTGTGGACATATAAAAATGCATGTGTTGCAAGGTGCATTTTTGTCTGAATGATACACGTTTCAATGTCACTTTGATGCCATTGTTACATTTTCAGTTATGAAAACGTGTCGAATGACGTCAGTTTGATGTCTCTTTCTGTCAAAACGAATGTGCTTATATTGTAGTATAGTAGTTCTTTTCAGGGATTCACGGACCTCCAAAAGGATCTGTAGATAGTTTTCCAGGCTTGAAAGTGTAAAAATCAACTTTTTATCTTAATTTTGTGTTGTTGCGTGAAATTGTTAATTTCTGTATTAAGAGAGAAGCACATATATTACTATGTCGTATGTTTTTTATTTTATATAACTGGTTTCTTTCGTAATTTTATTTTATGCATTTAAATTATTTCAAGACGAGGTCCATGACCATCTCCTGACTGGAAAAGGGACACCGTTGACTGGGCAATGATGAACTGGGTGCTGGACATCTGGGCAACAAAATAGATCAATAATAAACAAAATATAAAATTTTTTATTGTTTTCTTTATTAAAATCACTGTTTTTTTCTGTTGATCTACTATCTGGTAAATTTAAATCATATTTATGTTATGTACATTATTTATTTTTACAAGTAGAAAAGTTATGAAGAATCGTTAATATCTACCCTCAAAATTAACAAATACAGTCTACCCCCTATAACACGGTAGATATGTTCCGAGTTTTATGAATCCAGCTTTTACAAGTCCAGTCAATCACAGCCTGGCACGTATGCACTTTACGGACTACGGCTGTTTGAAAGGTTTCTTCCATAAAATTAATCGATTCTAGACTAATTTGACTCAACATTTCCAAAATACGTATAATTTTTTGGGAATAATCCATATAAACTATGGTATAAACAAAAAATTATAGGATTACTTACTGAGTGTGCACTGTTTGACTACGCCGTTGCTTAAGCTTGTTTTCGTCATGGAGATTGTCATTGAATGGCGCTCGCGTACTTCGTGATAAATTATTTTTTTGCGAAAAATTTGCTGAACTTTAGAGACATCATTAATATAAATATAATTTTTATGGACGTTAAATAATAAATGGTTTTTAGTAGGTCCGTTGCTCGTTTAAACTCAATAATGTACATTGCATGA